ATGTATACGCATCTACACAGGCTTGGTATACTCGAGGTGCACACAAGACTCCGGTAACGAGAGTTTATTATATCGCCGCGCGACGAAAACGAGACTAAAGATCGCGGCGAGGTGGCGACGGAGACGGCGGCGTCGGCGTCGGAGGCATGAGGAGGCAATTTCGCGAGCATCTCTTCGGTGCTTGTGCCTTACGCTTGTGTATATACGAAGTCTATTTATAGAGTCTCGTAAGTTTAAAAATAACCATGCAAAAAATAATCCTCGAGCGCGTGCAGGATAAATATAGCAGCTCGTATAAAATAGGTACGTATAATGCTGGCACGAGGGTGAGGACACTTTATGCAATAAGTACGTATAGCACACATACACACACAAGAGCCATAGGAGGTACATCACCTTGCCTGCACTCACGTGTGTTTGTGAGTGTGTGTACGATCGCCGAGTGAATTACTCATAAATAGATATGTAATGGCTGCACACGCGGAAAGCAAAAGATGCTCACTCATTTACGTCAATTACAGCCGATAAGAGAGTCGACTTTTCGAATATTACAGTCAAGAGCAGGAGAGAAAAGCGAACGTATAACGGATGGTTTTATAAGCGCGTCTCTCTCTCTCTCTCTCTCTCTCTCTCTCTCTCGGTGGATGAAAAATCCACTCAAATATTCAGCAGCCTCGATACACCTCGTCGTATGCATTTATTTTCACTTTACATACTGCGGCGAATCTCGAATGAGAGTCGACATACCGAGTGGCTTACATAGAGAACCATGGCAAGAAGAAAATGTCTTATGCAAATATGCATGGAATGAGAGAAGATGAAATAGAGGACAGGTTTAAACTGGTAATTATAATTAAGATGTTTCTATGAAAATTATTCTAGGAGTCAAGACTGATATCACGAGAAGTTTGTAAACTCTCTCTCTCTTTCTCTCTCTCTCTCTCTCTCTCTCTCTCTTGGCACGTTATTGCTACTGGCTGCGTAATTTTAACAATAATGTCGAAAAATATTTATAATTTTAATTTTAATGATTATTAAAGTATGAAATTGGGAAAAGTCAAATACACTATGATTTTATAGGGGTGAATAGGGGAGTACAAGGTTTGAAAAGAGCCGACAAAAAAAAATCTCGAGGCACTGCACACCTTGATTGTTCTAGTGAAGTAATTTTACTTTCGCATTCAAGTTGAAGCGCGCCAGGCTCGCCTGGTGTGTGCACGGCTGCGGCGGCGGTGTCAGGCCAATTAAATCGCAAGAAAGTGTAAAGAGAGAAAGAGAAAGAGACAGAGAGATGAGCTTATGGCGAGCGCGTGCGAGGAAAGGAGGTCAAAAAACGAAGCTAATGAGCACACGAGAGAGTTGTGTGTAGTGCGTACGTATTTAATTCGCGAGCGTATAAAATATGCGTGTACGCGTGTGTATTGTTGTTGTTGTTGTTGTCGTTTCCAAGTCACATGCATACGCGTATATACACACGTAGAATACAAACGCAATGAGGTACGAAGGAAAGAAAGAGTGAAAACAGGATCGAGCGAGAACGAGAGGAGGACGGAAACGCTTCGGTGTATAAGGACAATGCCACCAATGAAGTAATGTATTTATATTAATAGCAAAAGGGAGAAAAAACTAGTTTTCCCTCGTGGCTTATGGGATGCAAGCGAGACATCGTTTTCGCTTTATTTTTCGTGTTGCGCACAGATATCAGAAAAGCTGCAGCGTCTCTATATAAGTTCATGCGTGCTGTATTATATGTATATGGCGATGAAAAAAGAATAAAATATAAAGCCTCATTCAGCGGGAGTATTAATATAAATTACGCTCATACATTTCTTCTGCAAATGGCATTGTACCGGAGCGCGCAGTATCTCTCTCTCGCTCTGGGTCTGCTGCTTACTTATAATGCATCGAGTCGCTTGCAGTACTTCGCGCGCGCACACACAACAACCACGAAACATTCAGAGAGAGAGAAAAAGACAGAGAGAGAGAGAGAGAGAGATTCAACCCTGTGTATACGGCACGTAAGCATCTAAAAATAGCTCCTTCTCGCGCTCTCCTCACCTAACAGACCATTAATCCTAACTGGTAAAGCTCCATATAGAAAGCAGAGAGAGAGAGAGAGAGAGAGAGAGAGAAAGAGACAAGAGCAAAAGAGGGCCTCTCTCTGCGCGCAAGCAGTTGCTAAAGGACGCGAAGAAGAAGCAGAACAAGAAGAAGAAGACGAAGCAAGCAAGCAAGCGAGCGAGCAAGGCAAGAAGGAGATAGTATAAGGAGAAGAAGTGGAAAAGAAGGGGGCGATCTCGTAGCGAGGATCTTTCTAGGATACATGAATCAGCATAAGGAGAGAGAGAAAGAGAGGAACGTGTGCGCAAAGAGAGTATATATCTATACCCAAGGCACACAAATGTAAAACAAGAAGCACGACTTTGCGGCCGAGCGCGAGCGAATCTAAATATAAACCGCACGAGACTAGGCGCGACCGAAGGGCGCCTCGTGCCACCCTCGCCACAAGTACAGCAGCAGCTCCTCGCTCGCGATCCTTCTTACTCTCCGGGCTTATATGGCTTTTTACTTTGTGTGTACGTAAGTACGTGCACGTAAATACCTGCGCCTATGTAGCACACCGATTCGTCTCCGTGTATGTATGTGGAGGAGCTTTTTTCGAAGATTAAATATTGAGAGGCACGTGCGCCACGCGCAGCAGCAGCCAATAATGACTTTGTGTTGTAGTGCGCTTGTGTCGCTGCCGTATAGGCAATAACGAGCTAAAACTTGCGAAACTTGAGGGCGGCAAGTAAAGTCGCGCAAGCATAAAGCGGCGAAAGTGCCTACGCACACAGAAATCGAGTCGCATACACGTGCGTGTATTATATAGACACAACGAGGCTTAATCTTTCACGCATTTATATTTATGTGCAACAATAATAAAAGAAAATGTTTCGCGAGAAGCGATGTCTTTACAGTTATGCACACACACACACACACACACATCAATTCCGATACGCGCGCGTGCGGCGCTGTTGAAGAGTAAAAATGTTTACGTTTGTGTGTATTATATTATAAGAGAGCTACTAAGGCCTGACGTGTGCCGAGATTTCATCACACACACACACACACAAACATACAATATTGTCTCTCATTATCATCGAAAACTTATAAAAACACATGGGTTGCACGCGCCGGGCCGCGAGATCATATTGAGACTTTATAATATTATACAGAGAGAGAGAGAGAGAGAGAGAGAGAGAGAGAGAGAGAGAGAGAGAGAGNAGAGAGAGAGAGAGAGAGAGAATGGAAAGTTCGCGAGCCGTGATAAGTGTTTAGCCGAGGCGCAAGCGAGACAGTTGATTTTACGTAACCGATCGAATCTTTCGTTTTTCTTTCTTTCTTTCTCTCCGCTGCCGCTTGAAAAATTCTTCGATGCCGCACGAGCCACCGGCCATTTAGGAATAACAATATTATACATATAAGCTAAAAGACAAAGATCGTAATTAATTAATTATTCGCTTAGTTTCTCGAATCTAAAAGAACGTCGTATAAAAGCTGTGAGTCCTCGTGTGACTTTGTGTGTGTGTGTGTGTGTGTGTGTGTGGATGCATGTGTGTATAAATATACTAGTGCCCGCAGACACAATGAGAAGGAGCGGCTTGCACGGTGGTTTATATGCATTATGGGTCTCTCGTACTTGGCACATATGCTGTCTGCAAATTATCGCGAGCGCGCGGGACACTCTCGCGGGTTCGTTTTCATATTGATACACGTTATCTCAGTGCTAAATTAAGCCACGAGCTTGTCATTGTTGCGTATTTATATATAAAATGTAGCTTGACGACCCACACGGTGCATACAGCATAGCGACGAGCCAGACTGAAAAGTGTGTACATATTTAGTAGAGGAGAGGAAAAATATTTCCTCCGCGACTCAGCTCTCGGAGTCCGTCGAGAGACAGAGAGAAAGAGAGCTTTTAATTAAAGCAGCCGGAGCGAAGTCGGTGAAAAATGTTGCGCGTTGTTTTCGCCGATTAACGCGTGCACAGCGGCTATATTAAACGCACCTGCGCATACACAACACACGGTCACGTGTGTGTCTCGTTAAAAGGCAAGCTTGTATATCTGTTCATGCTGTTGCTGCTGCGGTACAGCACACACGATGCCTCGTCGCCCGCTGCACTCGCACAAACGCAAGGTCAGGGACATGCACAGACACATACACACTTACTACCTCGGCAATGCACATATAGGTACTGGTGCGGGCAATGGACGTGCCGTTAAAGAGGGACGAGGGGGTCGGCGGTCTCTTTCTCTCTCTTTCGATCGTATATACGTATACACGTTGTGTGTTGCGCGCATTATATGCATGCGCACATGCGCGAGCTGCTGCTGCAGCGCAAAAAAGGGGGCGGCAGAGCGCGGAATAAATGTACCATATATCGCGGCACACGGGAGTAAGTATACGTAAACACATACACGCAGTACACGTATGTTTATAGGATATCGCCTACTAATCTCCATCCGTTGTCTACTAGGTTTGTGCCCTGCTGCTGCCTCCACATACTGCATGTATATATGCGCGCATGTATGCATATAAGTAGGGAATTTATCTCGAGCCACCGATCGACCTTCGCTAGCCAACTTACGTGCGGAGACCGGGTCAACGGAACTTTGTCGTAGTCGTCATCGTCGTCGTCGTCGTCGGCGGCGGTGGCGGCGTTCCTCTTTATATTCACCTATCTATCTCTACGTGTTTGTATACACATATAATGTAGCTTATATGCACAATCGCCGCACTTGCATGTAACAAGCCGCAGCAGCAGAAGCAGAAGCGAGGGAAGATTTTTTATTGTACGTGCCTGTATGCTTAACGAGGGTGTGCAGCTCAAGTAGTAGGTAGGTAAAGTCGTAGCAGCAGTAGTAGTAGTTGTTGTTGTACCAGTAGGATAGGTAGCACTGGGTTACTTGGGTTTTTGATTTCGTAAAGATGATAAAAGCTACTATGCGACTTACTGCGTGTATTTATAGGCAGAGATGCACGACCACGACGAACGTGGGCCTCTGTGTGTGTGCGCGCTGCAGCTCACCTGAAACAAATCAAACGATAAAAAACGTTAATTTTAAATCTCGTTCTTTGTTATTGTTGTTTTTATTTTTATTTTTAATTATTATTATTGTATAACGCTGAAACGAAATCTATGTGTAAATCGCTGTAAAGCGAATAGAAGCTAGCGTTCGTGGTTTCATGTACGGCTTTTTATAAAAAAATCTATCGAGATCGACTCGTCCGCTTAAAGCCAAATTGATTTATAGCTTTCGACTCGTATGCATATGTATGTCTTCGAGGCACGTTACTATCGTGCGCGTCGAGATCGATCAATCGATCGAACTCGAGCTTAGCGCACGCGAGATATGTATAAGAAGACAAAAAGACAAAAATTGCGTCAAGCGTAGCCTACATTTTCCATCGCGTGAACTTGCTTATGCGTAGTTAACGCGGGGGGCTTTTCTGTCCTTTCGTCACACAGTGTAATATATAAAATAATAAAATAATGCTAGATATATAATATAAAGGTCTCGACGAGCGAGATAAAGAGACAATGGAACAAATCGATTCATCGCACACACATTTTTTTATACCGATCGTAGTATATCGCACGCGACCTTTCTCTCTCTCTCCCACTAGCGTAGAAAGAGAACTCGATCCTCTTCTTTCGCGACTTTGTTTGAATTATCATAACGCGTTCTTAAACCGTTAGTTTATATGCATTATAATACTCTCAGCGAGAGAAAGAGAGTCTAAAAAAAAAAGTTTTACGACGAAGGTCGATGAGCGCGCCTCAGCGGTATACGTGTCTTTTGTGCTTTTCGAGCCTCTCACAATGAGCCGATTTGTAAAACAAGCGGCACTTAGAGGCAGGCGCGTTTATTTTGCGCATCATTATTTTCGTGAATTATCAATTAAAAATGAAAAAAATGAGAATTAAGCGCGTTTTTCATTAGGGAATGAAAATTTTTTTCCTTGTGTATTTTGGATCGTGTATTATAAGTATACGACACTTGCACGCACTCGTCGCGCGTAATACATGATTGAAGAATTATGACACATTGTTTTTCAGGGCGCACATTATCCTCATTATTTCCGCACATACTAATACGAGACGGCAGTGCCGGTGGCGACGACTCCTCCTAATGGATTAAGCACACACATCGCGTGCGGATTGCGTGCACGCCTCGTCTAATAATACTCTCTGGAAAATGCGCCCAAGTACCTGTACACACATTATATGTATGCACTCGCACAGCTCGAAACCAGACAATGTGTGTATACACGATTAAAAAGTTTAATTCTATGATTTATCGTATTTTTGCTGAACACGCGGCGGCAGATAAAGAAGAGAGAGAAAGGAAGAGGATGAGGATAAAATACGTGTTAATAAAAACAAAAGCTCGAGACAAAGGGGAATGTCGAATTTTTCACACGTTTAATACGCGTGTGTTTCTATTAAATAGCGAAAGAACGAAGTTGCAATATAACGCCGAGTGCAGTTAACGTGAGTGCGGGCGGAAATCAAATCGATCCTAGCACAGTCGACTGCTATCGCAGCTTATATACACGAAGCGAACGTTGGCCTCAGTTCAAAATAATAAAAGCCTCGAGAGTACACGACGCTGTTCGACTATACTATCGAGCGTCTCTTCGTTGTTTTGTGTATGCACTGATAACAACCCGTACTGTATACGTAGTGGTTCTGGCTAGGGAAATAAGCCTCGACATTATACACCACGGGCCAATCGACCTTTCGATTAGCGATGTCGTTTTCGCGGATAAAGTTGCTGATCGCAACGCACGTAAATGCGTGAATATAGCATAATTATACAACGACGGTACAGCACCAGGGCTATATATTCACGCCCGATCGGCACACGTATTATAATACGTCTCTTTTATTTTTTTTATAGAATGCTTCCTCCATAATATAAACTCACACCTCGCGTCCATTTACGCGGAACGTTCGAATCAATCTCTCTGTTCGTGGCGAGCGAGCGCGCGCGGAATTTTACACCTTTATAGTCGTTCGCACGAGATCGCGTGAAATCAATAACCCTTAATTTTTTGAATGCATGCATTTATATCGCGAGCATAAATGCCACGCGTTATATAGCCGTGGCGGCGCGCATGCACTTGCATGCATGGGTGCGCGCAAGGTCACGAGCAGATATAGCGCCGCGCGCTGAACACAGAGAGCCCCTACACTGTAATCATCTCGTTATTACACATACGGGTGCAACATAAAAATGTTACATATAAGCGGTGGAAAGAAAGAAAGAAAAAAAGCGACGAGTGACCATGAAAGTCAGTCGTGGTCTTGGTCTTGGTCGTATATGCCAGCGAGGAAGTATATATGCGAGGGATCGATCGGTAGCAGCGCGAGACGCGCGCCTTATCATCGAGTCGCGCAACGGAAATGCTACTCTGCTACTGGTACCTCTATATACGTTTATACCGTACATACGTGCGTGTACTTGGGGTATACCGCCGCACATATGCCATTTATACAGTATACAGTGCATAGCAGCATATATATATATATACGTGAATCGCATCGCATATACACATGCACGTGTACCGAACGTGATATTTGCAGGGTATGGCTCTCGATGCATATATATATGGAGCACGGAGAGGAGCGAATGATTTATGGAAATCGGCACGCGAACCTATAATACCGTCTGCGTTTATATAGAGCCATTGCCGAGTTTATCGTGGATGCTGCCATTGACTGCGCTTTCAAGAGAGAGAGCTACCAAGTGTGTATAATGCATACATAGACCTAGACGACGTCTACGACGTAGAAATGAACAGCTACGACGTTAGCGACGATGTACTTGAAGGCGTCTTTTGTTTCGTCGCTCCCCATTCTCGTACCGTCGCCGCTTTTCTATATGTACACCGTGCGCAGAGGTTCTAAACGAGCCCGAAATTATAAGGACGTGGATCGAGCCATTGAGCATTCGACGCAGCGGATACATTATATTATACAGAAGTCAATCGATCGGCATGCCACCGCTGCTGCTGCCTGCTGCTGCTGTTATTGCCGCCCATCCCGATTAAATCGAGCGCGACGCGCGAGCATATAATACGACTTTTTTTTTCATTCGACTGTACAGGGTGAAAAAAAGCTCGTGTCAACGAGGAGTGTGCACGCATATATGTATTAGGTACATACACGCTCACATATATAGCAGACCCAACGGCAAAAGTAGCGATGCAGCTCGAAAGCTCAAACACACGCGTTTAATAAATTCAGCTCACGTAGTCTCCGCCGCGCTATATATACCTAGGCTACGTTCTAAAGGCACCTCCTGGGTGTATATGTGTGTGTGTGTGTGTATGCGAGTATGTGTATAGGAATAGAGCGACAGCGTCGGTGGATGTGTGGTGTATTCTCGCTCGCTCGCAGAAGAGAGAGAGAGAGAGAGAGAGAGCGAGCGAACGAGAGAGCCAATTTCACCGCTATAAAGTAACGGTGCGACAACGCCTCTCGTCTCGAACGATAAATATTCAATCGATTGGCACTCGCATTTCTGCGCGCGGCGCAGCTCTCGCACAACACAGCACACATATATAGGAAGAACACGTATTATATGTGTGAGTGTGGATGTGTCGCGTGAGCCCAGTTCCATTGTCTGCGAGACCATCGCTCTCTCTCACTCGCGGCTCATTTGCATGATGTGCGTGCGTGTGTGCGGTACCAAAAGTGACAAAGAGAGAGAGAGAGAGAGAGAGAAGCTCAGCTCTCTCTCTCGCAGTGCAAAGACACAACTTGCATTTCTCGCGCCAGCGAACGAGTGGCTGCTCTGCGATCTCTCTGTCTCTCTCTCTCTTTCTCTCTCTCAGCTCCATTGGCATTATTTATACTTTTTAACGGATCTATTATCATACGTAAAATTGCTTTGTGTGTCCTGCCCAGAGTGATCGAGGCGAAGCCACATGGGTGTGCGATTGATTTTTTTTCCATGTCATTTACTTTCGCGCGCGTATATACTTCATTGGCGGAGGTAACCTTGGCGACAGTCAAGCTCGAGGAATGAAAATCGGTGCATTATCGGACTCTTTAATTATCGACGAGGTACCAAGCTGCAGTCTCTACATCTATATTTAGTTACTTAACCGTATCGTGCAGTTGGGTTTTAAATCTTTTCGAAAGTCTAGTTAATAATTTAGGTCATTTATAAAAGCTCGCCGCACCGCACTTCGAAAGCTTCGCGCTGCGCCGCATCGAAAGTAAAAAACGACGGTGAAGTTTCAGCGTTACGTTATTGCCTTACGCGGTAATTATTCTTTCTGCTCTCTGCGCCGCGCGGCTCGGCTGCTAAAGGGTGAAATGAAGCAACAAAAATACATCGGCATATATAACAATATAAATTTTCTGTTGCACGCGCGCGCATACACCCAAACGGACGAAGAAGAGATTTGATTTACTATCGTTTGAGCCCCCTCGTGCCCTTGAGATCAGGCTCTAAATTGTAAGTGTGTTTTCCATTCGGTACCGAAGATGGAGCGAGAGAGAGAGAGTCCAAGTTACCTTTTGCGCTTTATATAAGTTATTACTTTGAAGTACACGCACGCGAAGTAAAAGAGGGCGAGGGAGAGAGAGCGAACAATAATTTTTACCGGCTAATCTTTTTTTTTCTTCTTCATAACTTCAGACGCGCGCGGTCGAGCTTTATATAATGAAGGACGCACGACCCGTATAACACATACGCGAAGATGTACTCGTGGTTTGAACTTTTTTTTCACTCTCTCGCTCTTTTTCTTTCTTCATGCGTACGAGCTGGCACTGCGGCACTGCACTGCTCTTTGCCCAAGAGATATAAATTTCGAATTTTATTTTTCACAGTACGATCTACGTGAAGTTTTTAAAAGTAAAAAATGGACAATTGCAATTATAGCCGAGCGATAATTGAATAGCTCGAGGCATGCAAAATAATAAAAGAAAGAGAGATAAGGAAAGGAGGCGCAACTCATTGTATCGATATACTCGTGCGTGCGCAAGTTCATGTATTCTTTTGTAATTGTATA